CCCCCCCCCCCCATTTCTTTACCTTGGTCTTTCTCTGTTGTGTTGCAGACTTTCTGTCTTTGGATGCCTAATAAACGCTGTTTGCTGTTCACACTTTAAAGCAAAGCAGTGGGAAGGCTGCCTGGAAGCTCCCTGTGCTCGGCAGGACCCTTGAGAATGAGGGGGCAGGGACGGGCCATTGGGCTGGGGACCCTCTAAGTGCAGGTGACGGAAAGCACTCATCCAGAGAAGGTCCACGGCGTCAGCTGTGGCGCTGCCTGACCCAAGAGGTCGAGGGGGCACAGGGCCCTCCTCACTTGCCCTCGGGCTCCATGTGAAGGCTCCACGAGGGTGACGGGTCCTCACATGCAACGGCTCCAGGCGCAGCCTCCCGCGGAAGGAGAGCGGCCTCTCTCAGCAGCTCAGACCACGGCCAGGGGCCTTACACTGGGAAGCAGGTCCACATGGCCAGGAAGAGCCACAGGGCATGCCACATCCCCTCACAAGACCAGGGGAGGGGGCAGTCACAGTCAGACCCCCATGGGCCGAACATAAGAGAGGGCTGGCTCCCCAGGGCACACACATGGATGCTTTGACCAGAACAGGGAAAGGACGCTGAGAGGCCAAAGCGGCAGCTGTCCCCAGCAGGCCCCACACCGCACCAGGGCTTCCTGATACCGTCAGAGAAATGCCCTCGTTTCCTTGGGGTGAGCAACACGCTGGGGGCCGTTCTGTGCATGGGACCGGGGGTGGGGGGGCTCAACCAGAGAATGCAAACCTTGGACGAACCCCCATTTCTGTCCCCACTCCTCCTGCCATCCATCACCACAGCAGCCCAGTCCCTGAGGCTGGGCGGGAGGCTCTCTACTTGGCCGCTGCCCCTGTGGCCCAGGTGGCATTTGAAACCCACAGGCCCTGAGATTGCCCAGGAGAACATGTGGAGCAGCGGTGCTGAGCCTCCAGGGACCACGAGGGTCTGATAGAAGCTGAGAGATCGAATCACCTAACAACCCTCTGAAGTTCAGGAGGTCCCTGTGCCCACCTCCGACACCATCAAGAGGGCCTGGTGTCCCCAGGTGGAGTGGCTGGGGTGAAGGCCTAGAGTCAGTGGGTGGAGGGGAAGAGATTCCAGAGGACAAACCAACCTTGGGAAGCAAGACAGCACCATTTCAGACATGGTCCCAGAGTCCAATCCGGCCGGGCCTGGGGAGGCCCGCTGGCTTGAGCAGTCAGGTTACCGGTGGTGGGGCTACCTGAGGACCCCCTGGAGGAGCCTGAACAGTGGGCACTGAAGGGCGGGAGGAGGGGGGCCCACGAGGGTGTGCTGCTCTGGGACTCGGACACCATGGGGCCCTGGAGAGCCGTCCTCCCCTCTCTGTGCACCGCGGTCAGGAGCTCAGGGTCCGACGTCGCATTCTGTGGTCCCTGTGTCTGGGACACACCCACCCCGGGAAGGTTGGAAATGAGGAACGGGAGAGGGTGGGGTAGGAGAGGTTAGGGTTTGGGGCGGGTGGAGTGGGATGGAGTGTGGGAAGGTGGCGGTGTGCGCACCGGGTGCTGAAGACAGCGGGGCAGACGGTCCTGTCGAGAGACAGGACGCGGGGTGGGGTGGGGGATGGGGGGCGTGAGGGGGACGGGGGCCGCTAGGACGGGGTGCTGGGCAGCGAGAGGGGCTGCGCCTCGGAGCGCCTGCCTTTATCTCCTCCCTTCCGTCTCCCGGGGGATGCGCCTCCGCGTCTGCCCACCCCCAAGCCTAGGGCGGAGGCCTCACGCAAAAGCCAGGCTCCGCGCTCGGCGCTCGGCGCTCGGCGCCCCGTGCAGTCTCCGCCGCAGCTCCGTCCTTCCCGCTCTGCAGCGGTGCCTGGAGCGGCCGCCGCGGTTCCGAGCGAGGCCCGTGGCTGGTAAGGCCGGGCAGCGGAATGTGGGCGCGCACCGGGAGGCTGGGGCTGGCGCCCGCCGGGCTAGAAATGAAGACGCAGCGAGGGGCCGACAGGGCCCGGGCGGAGGGTGGAGCCGCCGGCAGGTGGTCACGTCCCGGTCCCCCGGCCCAGCAGCTGAGCCAGGCGGTGGGGGGAGGGGGGGAGCGCGAGGCAGAAGCGGGCGGGAGGCGACCCTAAGCTGGGTCCGGGCCTGCGGCGGCGGGGCGGGATCCGCACAGTGTGACCAGCCCGCGAGGCCCCAACCGGCTCTGGCCCCGCGCAGCCCCGGAAGGGGTGGGAGGGCCAGGCCGAGTCTCACCGTTGGTCCCTTCTCCAGACCCCGATCTGGTTCCTTGGGGACCAGGCCCCAGGGTGGGCCTCTGGTCCTGCCGAGCCCTGGAGGCCGGAGTCGGTCCTTCCAGAGCAGCCCAGAATACGGGGCCCCCTCCCCAGGCCTGAGCGCCCCCCGTCCACCGGAGGTGCTCACCACGCCCCCCAAGCACAGAATAACCCGCAGGTGCTGAACCCTCTCTCACCTCCTGCCGCCCCTTCCCAGTTACTGAACAAGAGCTCACGCCCTCCCCAAGCCTGAGTCCCTAATCCTCAGGCATTACAACCTCCTCCTCTCAGCCCACGCCAGCCTGGGCCGGTAGTGCTCCAAGGTGCTGGGGCGTCATGTACCACCAAATGCTGAGCCCCTGTCCCCAGGCCCCGGGTGCCCTGGGCCTCACAGAAGCTGAGGTCCCTTCCTCCGTCCTCCTGCAGGTTTTGCTCCACGAAGATGAACTGGACTGCCGCCGCGTGCTGGGCTCTGCTGCTAGCGGCCACCTTCCTCTGCGACAGCGGCGCGGCCAAGGGCGGCCGTGGCGGGGCTCGCGGCAGCGCCCGGGGCGGGCTGCGCGGGGGCACGCGCGGGGCC